CAAGGTCAGGGCAGCTTGGCCGCAACCTAGAGCTCATGGGTCTCTCTGCTGGAAGGCTGCAGTGACCGTGTCCACTTAGAGAGCAAATGGAAACCAAGGCTTGGCTACACAAGAACATTCTATGATGCTCATCCTGCAAGCACAGCAAGACATTATTCAAAACAGCATTGCCCAAGTTAGCTAATTACTAGAGGCCTGAACCCTCTGCCGAATCTATACAACAATTTTTACATGCTTTCTAAGATTCAGGTCTCCAAAATTAAACATTTCTTTTACTGTGCAGAAGGATTGGGTTCCTGTATAATTCAAGTGAGCTAGTGCATATGATATCTCCTTGAAAAAAATTTGAGCTATTTCACAGAATGTGGAATATCATACAATCACAGAATTCAGTAAATGGAAAGGAGCTAAGAAATGAAAAAAGGAGGCATGGAGAGGTAAAGTAACTTGTGGCTTCAGGGCTAGTAGCTGATACAATGAAATTACATCATTTACCAAATTTCATTCTCAATATGTAACTGAGCAATGGCATTTTCTAGTCATTTTGCCTGAGTTAATACACATGATTTCAAACTTTCAAAATGATGCCAAGTTTATGATATTGTTGTGCACATGCTTTTTTTAGACTTTGTTTTATTTTATTTAAAACTTTTCAGGTTAAAATTTCCCATATAATAAGCAAGCAATGGACATAATTTCACGTTAACATTGGGGGGGAGGGAAATTACTATGTATTCTTTTTTTTTTTTTTTTTTTTTAACTGAGCCATCCTGTCACCTGTTGGCAGCTCAGCGGCTGCTCAGCTCGGGCTGGGCATCGAACCGCTGTTGCTCAGAGCTCAATACTATGTATTCTTGATAAATGAGCTCTTCAAAAATTGATTGTGACAGATGAAACTAGTGGAAGGTGTTTATAGGTGGCTCCAATTTCAGCAGGAAGTGAAGGCTACCTTGAAGAATCTCATCCATAATATATGTTTTTTTCTCTATGGTTACTTTCTGAGTTCAAAATGGGACAACAGTTCCACAGAGATCCAAAGGTTCCACTAGTGCCAAACCGAACCTCACTCTTCAACTATCTACTTTTATGCATCTCACATAGTGTTCATGATCCTCCAAGTTCTCAGACTTTAAAAAGCATCAGAATCACCAGGAGAGCTGGTGAAAGCTCAGCGTCAGGCCCGCTAGCAGAGTTTCTGATTCAAGAGGCCTGGGATCCGGCTCTGGAATCTGCATTTCTAACAGGTTCCCAGGTGATGCTGCCTGGGGAACATTGTTTTAAATTATGCTGATAAACACATTTCCATCAAGATTAGCCAGTGTTGAAATTGCTTAACATGGATTTTTTTTTTTTAAGATTTTTATTGGGGAATTGGGAGATGGGAACAGCGCTGGGGAATTGGGGGAAGGGGAAGCTGTCCTTTTGTTCTTCAGTCTAGTTGTGGAGGACATCGCTTCACCGGCCCAAGTTGGCACCCTCATTGCACTCTTCCGGGGCAAGGCAGATCAGTCACCAGCCTCTAGACGGCTGCTCTCGCTGGCTGCCGGTCACTCACGGTAGCCCATGGCAACCCACTGCAGCAGGGGCTGCAGCTTAGGACATTGCTGGCGACTCACAGCAACCCAGCTCCAGGTTGAGCAGTTGTTCAGCATCTTAGCTGTAGAGGGCAGTGTCACTGGCCCTCATATGTGGGATCCGAAACAGGGCCCTCTGGCGTCCCAAGCCAGCTCTTAACCAACGCCCCACTCGGCCGACCCTTGACATAGATTTTTATAACCCTGAATTAAACATAGAGCACAGGGATTGGTTGGTGGTTTTTAATGCAGGTGCCAGATCCACACCTTCCACAAAAGTGAATATCTGAAGTCTTTTTGTTGCAGTCTTTTATTCAGAGAACAGAAGTATGAGCTATTGTCAGAAATCCCCATGAAAATTATTTATCAACTACTGATTAGTGCTTTGAAAAATAACAAGTGTTATTGTTGCAGGTAAGATTCTATTAAGCATTTCCATTTAGTAATTCTTCATCATAGTGAACAAAGAAGATTTTGACTCCCGTGGAGTCCAGACCTGATTCTGTTGCTTAGCAATAGGCTGCACGTACCATTACAGCATTGTGTGTTCTGCTTCAAAGAGGAACAGTGTGCCACAGGTACTTTTTAACTTTACCAGAGTGCCTCCATGAAAAAGGATTCATAATCATTTTTATTTAATCTAGCACACTAACAATTCTCAAAGTGAGAATTTTTCTTTTAGAATGTTTTTTAAATACACTGTGCTCTTTCTTGAAAGTGAAGCTCCACGATTTACAATCATTGACTTCGCTTCTGAAAGGGTTTCATCTTTCTGACAAAGAGCCATCGATCGGTTACATATTGTAGAGTGCTTCACCCATGTTCAGCTGTGGGTTGGACAAGTGGGGGATTCAAAAGACATGTAAAAGAAAACCTGTGGACACATTTGTACACTGTAAAGGAGCAGGTTTGGATATTATTAAGACAGTGTCTCCTTAATACGATCTATGATATATAAGAAAGACACAATTAACTTAGAAGAAACTGTAGCAAACTATATAAGACACTAGGCAATTAGCTACTAAATTATGAATCACTCCGCCAAAATTCTTTTAAGAATTCAGAGAGGGAAGAAACTAATAAGAAGAGGTGGCATTTATCAAGCGCTTCCTATATGCTAGGCACTTCAAATGCATACTCTCTTTTAGTTGTCACAACAGTCCTGTGAAGTCAGAATTATTACTATCCTCATGTTCAGATGAGGGCACTAAGGCTTCAAGGTTAATTAGCTTGTGAGTAAACAAACCCAGGTCTGGGTTAAGAAAGAGAGAGCTTCCTGGAGTGTGGCTAGATTGAGACCCACTAACCATCTGCCCTTTTCCCTGGTGTCTCTGCATTATTCATAAACACAGGGCCTAATTCCAGGCCACGGGTTCCTCAGGGAAAAGACCTAAGCTTTAATTCATGCCTATAAACTTCTGTGAATACCTATTCTTTCAGTCAACAGGAAGTCCTCTGAGACAAAGGTAAAGGAAGGAGGACTTCTTTTTATATTATTTTCATATAATGAGTTCTGTAGAATGATATATGATTTGCATAGAAGTATGTTGACCTATAAAAGCACACCCTGAGTTTTCATAACAGCAGAACCACATCAGTCTTCTAGATTTGAATTGTTTAGCATCTCTGTCCAAACAACTTTTCTCCTTGATTGCATTAATAACACCTGGGCCTAATTTTTTTTTTAAGATTTTTATTGGGGAATTGGGGGGATGGGAACAGTGCTGGGGAATTGTGGGAAGGGGAACAGACAAATTGCTGTCGTTTTGTTCTTCAGTCTAGTTGTGGAGGATGCTGCTTCACTGGCCCAAGTTGGCACCATCATTGCGCTCTTCCCGGGCGAGGCAGATCAGTCGCCAGCTTCTGGACGGCCGCTCACTGTGGCTGCTGGCCGCTCACACTGGCTGCTGGCTACACACCGTAGCCCATGGCAACCCACTGCCACAGGGGCTGCAGCCTACGCCGTTGCCGGCAACTCACGGCAGCCCAGCTCCAGGTTGAGCTGTTGTTCAGCATCTTAGCTGTGGAGGGCAGTGTCACTGGCCCTCATATGTGGGATCCGAACCAGGGCCCTCTGGTGGCATCCCAAGCCAGTTCTTAACCATTGTGCCATTCAGCCGGCACCTGGGCCTATTTTGATGAACATTTTTTAATTAACTATTTCTTAAATTTATCTCTAGCCCTGTCTTAAAGTGCCCCAGACTTTCCAAATAACAGTATATAATTTCACGCCAAACACTCTGCTCCCATTCCCCATACACACTTAGAAAAACACAACAAATAAGTAGTCATGTTTTTCAGGAGGCTTTTGAAATGAAAGATAAGACTGACTGCACTGTCTCACTACCAGACTTGAGGTGAGGGGGACTATTAGAGCAAAACTCAAACGTCAGGCCCACAACTTTGTCAATTATCTTTAAATATCTCTGAAAATGTTGTAGAAAGCAGAGGTAAAAGAGCACAAATGGTTAATATTTAAACAAATACTGAGTGCTAGGTTGGGAATGAGGAATCCTGGTCTCTAAGGCTGTTTCTGCCCAAGTCCTGAGGCTTTCTGAGTCTATAAAATATGAGGGACAGGAATAAAAACATCTAACACTATCCAGAACTGTCTAGGATACAATGAAATGAGAACACTGATACACATCCAAAGGATTTCTTCTATGCAGAAAGGAAACAATCAGAGCGAAAAGGCAACCAATGGAATGGGAGAAATATTTGCACACTATATATCTGATAAGTGATTAATATCCAGAATATATAAAGAACCCCTAATACTTAACAATGAAAAAAATAAATATCCCAATAAAAAATGGGCAAAGGACTTGAATACACATTTCTCCAAAGATGACATGCAAATGACTAAAAAGCATATGCAAAAATGCTCAAAGTAACTAATCAAGAGGAAAATGCAAACCAAAACTACAATGTAATATCACCTCACACCCATTAGGATGGCAACTATCAAAAACAAAACAAAACAAAAAACAGAAAATAACAAGTGCTAGTGAGGATGTAGAGAAATTGGAACCATTGTGCACTGTTGGTGAAAATGTAAAATGGTTCAGCTGCTATGGAAAACAGTACGGAGGCTCTTCGAAAAATTAAAAATAGAATTACCATATGATCCAACAATTCCACCTCTGGTATATATCCAAAAGAAATGAAAACAGGATGTTGAAACAATATGTACACAGTCTTGTTTATTGCAGCATTATTCACAATAGCTAAGAGGTAGAAGCAACCCAAATGTCCAATGATGAATGAATGGATAAACAAAATATGGTATTTACATATAATGTCATATTCAGCCTTAAAAAAGCAGGAAATTCTGTCATATACTACAACATAGATGAACTTTGAGGATGATATGCTAAGTGAAATTAGCCAGTTACAGAAGGACAAACACTGTTTGATTCTACTTACATGAGGTATCTAAAGTGTCAGATGCATAGAGGTAGGAAATAAAGTGCAGACACCAGGAGGGGAAAATGGGTTACTCTTGTTCAATGGGTAGAGAGTTCCAGTTTTGCAAGATGAAAAAGTTCTAAAGACCTGTTTCACAATAATGTGCATATAGTTAACAGTACTGCATTGTACACTTAAAAAATGGTTAAATAGTCAATTTTATATTATATGTTTTATACCACAATAATCATTTTTACAAAGCATGAGCCATGAAAGAAAAATTGATATTGGACTTCATTAAAATGGAAAATCCTTTAACTAGGGACAAAGCTTTTTGTTATATAAATATAGTTGAAATGAAAAAGCAAAAAGAACAGGTGAAACCAAATATGGCAAAAGAAGAAATTCATGTAAACCACATGTAACAGTGCCTGGTACATAGGATGTGCCAATAAATAATGATTGTGTTACATATTTTTTTTTGTAACTGGCAAGGTTCATTTGCAGTTTGTGTTCAAGCGATGCAGCAATTACGTAGGTTGGAACAATACCTTCTTGAAACGATTCAAATATAGTCTGAGAGTTTCTTTTTTTTTTTTTTTTTTTTTTTCAGCTGAGCCATCCCGCCACCTGTTGGCAGCTCACGGCTGCTCAGCTCGGGCTGACTCGAACCACTGTTGCTNGAGCCATCCCGCCACCTGTTGGCAGCTCACGGCTGCTCAGCTCGGGCTGACTCGAACCACTGTTGCTCAGAGCTCAAACTCTTGAGCGAGCTCTTACCAACTGAGCCACTCAGCCGGCCCAGTCTGAGAGTTTCTTTAACGAAGTTTAAAAACTCCTTTTCTAGACATCTAAACTAGAGAATACTCTTTCAAGTGCATATGAGATACGTATAAGAAATCTTATTACATTACTGATTTATAGCCCCTCCAGAAAAAGTAGGGAACAACTTATTTAGTTGTGAATAAACCTCAAAAACATATGCTTACATGGAGATGGCAAGTTTTAGAAGAATATGATGGTGTGCACTTAAAAAATACATGTAACAATTCCATATATACATACTTACCTATGCAGTAACTATTCCAAAATATGTATGGTGATACTCATCAATTTCAGGATAGATGTTACTTCTGGATAAGAAAAAAAACAAAGGGATGAAAGGCAGAATTTAAGCTGTAACTATTGCATTTTCCTTCTGAAAATTAAAAAAAAAGAGTGAGAGGAGATATCTAAAATAAAGCTGACTTGTATTACATTTGGGTAGCAGATATACAGAAGTCTGTTATAGCATTTCCTGTGTTTTGTATATGTTTAATATGTTTCATAATTTACATTCTATAACATTAGTGTGTTAATACTAATTTTCACAAGCATTTTTTAAACAATTTTTTTTTAATTTTTTTCTAAATTTTATTGGGGAACAGTGTGTTTTTCCAGGACCCATCAGTTCCAAGTCAAGTAGTTGTTTCAATCTAGTTGTAGAGGGACTATGTGGGGATCAAACAGTGGCCCATGTGGGGATCAAACCGGCAACCTTGGTGTTAGGAGCACTGTGCTCTAACCAATTGAGCTAACCGGCCACCCTTCACATGCATTTTTATTACTTAGTAAAACTCAAAAGTCACCCCTCTTGAAAGCCTTCTTGGAATCCTCTGGAAGTCTCACTCCCTGGTTCCCACAGCACCTAGTTATGTCCCCTGCATTCAGTTATTTATTTTATTTACAACTCAGGTGTAAACTATTAAATTCTCTGTTGCAACGACAGGCATTTATTCACCTTTGTATCCTATTCAAAGCCTAAGGTCACGGTGGCTTACATTCCTATATGCTTAATACATTCTTATGCAATGAGTAATGAAGCCAAATTGCATCTTCCATAACTGCTGGTGAAGTATGATATGATTGCTAATAAAAATGAGGAAATAAATTAGTGCAAAGAAAGGTGTAGTTGTGGGACAATACCCCTGAGAAATCCAATTTGTTTATCCAATTCTCAGAAGCCTAGATCTCAGTTTGTCTTAGTCTGCACAGGTTGCCATAACAAAATACCAGAAACTGGGTGCCTTAAACAACAGATATTTATTTCTCACAGTTCTGGAGGCTAAGAAGTCCAAGATCAAGGTGCTGGCCAATTTGATTCCTGGTGACAGCTCTCTTCCTGGCTGCCTTTTCAGTGTGTCTTCACATGACATAGACAGAGCTCTGGTGTCTCTTCCTCTTCTTATAAGGCCCCATCAGTAGGCCCTCACCTAACCCTAATTATCTCCCAAAGGCCTCATCTGCAAATACCATCACACTGGATGTTAGGTTAGGGCTTCAACATGTGAATGGGGGCGGGGCACAAACATTCAGTTCATAACATCAGCCCAGACATAATACTCTACATGTGAACATTATTACAAAGTAAGCGGGCAAGACGTGGGCTCTGGGGACTACTACCCACGCTCAGAGATTCATGTCTAGGTGAGGCAGGGAGAGGACAACTGTGGCAGAATCGTATGGCCTTTTGCTTACCAGCACATTTCTATAATCTCGTCACACACACTTGAGTGCCAATGAGTTTTATCACTTAACACTGTGTAATTCACTTCAAAATTCTCATCAGCTTGTATTGATTGCTCTCATGTCTAGATGATGGAAGATTATAGAATTTTGCAATCAATTATAGAATTTCATAATCAATTACACAGTCCTTGAATGGTCCACTTCTCCATGCAAAAGTCATTTCAATGTTTAGTTATTGGAAAATCCCAGTAAAGCAAAGAAAGAGCGATTTGGTGTGTTCATTCCTTATGGTAAAAAAAAAAAAATAAGCTGACCAGAAGCATAAACTTCTAGAGCAGCGGTTCTCAACCTGTGGGTCGTGACCCCTTTGGGGGTTGAATGACCCTTTCACAGGGGTTACCTAAGACCATCAGAAAACAAAAAGATATTTACATTACGATTCATAACAGTAGCAAAATTACAGTTATAGAGTAGCAACGAAAATAATTTTATGGTTGGGGGTCACCGCAACATGAGGAACTGTATTAAGGGGTCGCAGCATTAGGAAGGTTGAGAACCGCTGTTCTAGAGTCATATTTAGAAATTATTGTAAAAATCAATCTAATGTCATTATCAATAATTACAAATCTAAATAACTGTTTTCACATGAAGGTTGATCATGTTAACATAACCAGGTAGTTGGCTATTGATGGGCTAAATAGTGCACAATTATTCATTATTTTGGACGTGATGCTGATTCGTTGCTGTCTTGATAGACATTATTAACTACATAGGAAACGAGACCTGGTTTGTTTATTTAAGGCTCCATAGAAGGCAGTTCTTAATTTTGCCCCTAAAAAAAATTTTTTTTTTTGTCGTGAAAAAAAAAAAAAAACTGTCCCCTTTCCTCTTTAGAACTTCAAGCTCTTGGGTTTATAAGACAAACTTCCAAGCCTCCCATTGTCAACATAAGCTTTCGGGAACACATGCGCGCGCACACACACACACACACACACACACACACACACACACACACACACTTATTCAGTTCCCATAAACCTCAGGATTTAAACCAATAACTCACCATATTCTTCAGCAATAGTCAAATATTTGTTGCTGTTACTTTCTACAGTTCTATACATAAATCTAGCCTTAAGAGACCATGATAATTTCTCGTAAATGAAAATTCATTCTCATAAAACTGGGTGAGAATTATACAAGGACTCATTAACATAAGGATCACTGTCAAGGTGAACAATTTTGGAATTAATATCTGGGTTGCTTTTTTTTCTCCAGGTGGTGGATTTTTTTTCTCCATAGCCTATCAAAGCTCTTTCAGCTTAAAGAAGGAATATGGCACTGTAATGGGCACTATAAAACTGATTTAAAAGCTAGCCAATGGAAAATACATTGAACTAACAGAAATGTAAGCTGAGTTTTGGACATGACTGCCTAACTTGTCATGAGAAAATCTCTTACTCTGTTCCCAGGCTGCCTTGTGAGTCTATCCCCTACAACTTTCCAGTGTCTAGAAGTCAATTGCATTGTGAACCACTCTCCCACCTAGTCTTACTTATTACTACAAAACAAACAGAAACTGTGTGTAAGCACATATATATGTAGGCATTCGATAATGTTACAAGCCTTTATTTTGAGCTGACGATAATGGCACACATAGCCTTGGGATCTATAGGGTTCAGAAAATAAAACATAGTCACTTTTGAAAGGATGTGTATGTTTGGTTACATATGAAATATGATTGAGCAAGTCATAAAAGAAATAAAATGACCAATAAATATTTGAAAAAATGTTCACACCCATCAGTAGTCAAAGAAATATAAATAAAGATGACAATAAGGAACTATTTGTCACCTGTCAAATTAGGAAAGGGTTTTAATCATTTTAATACCCTGTAGTAACTATGGAAGGAACTTGGTTCCTATAGAACAGCTACACTCATATCATTCTTAATAATAAAAAGTCCTTTTTTGAGGTATTAGATGTGATAGGATACATCTGGACGGTCTAAACCACTCTCATAACCTGGCTACCCTTGACAGTGCCTGGTTTATGCACATGCACATGATGCATTTCTGTCCATGAGACATAAGGGGGGGTTCCTGGGAAGGTTTTTCTCTTTCTGAGGACGGGAACCAAGACAGTAACTCTCTTTGCTTTCTTGTCTTCGGATCTTGTTTGCATTCCCTTGACCCAGCAACTCTATTTCTAGGTCTTTAACTTAAAGAAATAATCAGAGAGGCATGCAAAGATTTACATCCAAGGTCATTCATCCCAGATTTATTTAGTATTACAATAAAAAAATAGAAACAATCATAAACATCCAACAATAAATTTGGTTAAATAAATTAGGGGACATCCATAAACTATTACATATTCATTAAAAATTATATTGTAAAAAACAAACAATTTGATTTAAAAATGAGCAGTGGACCTGAACAAACACTGATCCAAGGAAGATATACAAATGGCCAACAGATATATGAAAAGGTGCTCAACATCACTAGCTATTAGAGAAATGCAAATAAAAACTGTAATAAGATAGCACTTCACACCTGTTAGAATGGCTATTATCAATAAGACAAGAAATAACAAGTGTTTGAGAAGATGTGGAGAAAAGGGAACCCTCGCACACTGTTGGTGGGGATGTAAATTGGTGTAGCCACTATGAGAAACAGTATGACGGTTCCTCAAAAAATTAAGAATAAAACTACTGTATGACCCAGCAAACTCTCTTCTGTGTATCTACCTGAAAAATTTGAAAACACTTATTCATAAAGATATATTGTAGCACTATTCACAATAGCCAAGACATGGAAACAACCTAAGTGTCCTTCAACACATGATTAGATAAAGAAGATGTGGTACGTATATACAATGAAATACTACTCAGCCATAAAACGGTGAAATATTGTCATTTGCAACAACATGGATGGATCTTGAGTGTATTATGCTGAGTAAAATAAGTTAGATGATAAAGGACAAGAATTGTATGATTTCACTCATATTTAAGATATAAAACAAAAGACAACAATTGAACAAACACAACAAACAAAAAAACAAACTCATAGAAACAGATGACAAAACAGTTACCAGAGGGAAAGTGGGGTTGGGGTGGGGAACTAAGAGAATAGACAGAAAGAAACTAGATTTCGGGTGGTAGGCACACAGAGTACATAGATACTGTATTATAAAGTTCTACACCTGAAATTTATGTTATTAACCAATGTTAGCCTAATCAATTTAATTTTTTTGAATTATACTGTAGATGAATAAGAAAGTCTTCATGACATTGTTAAGAGAGAAAAGTAAGTACAAAATCAAAAATTTGGGGAAATTATATGTATATGTACATATGGTGTGTGTCTCTGTGTGTGTGTGTGGGGGGTGTGGTGCTTATTTGGAGTTTCCAAAGTTTGTAGCATTAACATTTTCTGATATTGCAATTAGAGGGAAAAAATGTTATTTTTTTAAAAAAGTATATTTAAGTATTAAAATAGAGCATGAAGGAGAGACGGTCTAACCCTAACTGTGGCTGTAGTTAGCCTCAGAAGGTATGCTAAAGCTGAATCCTGAAATCAGCTGGGATTATTTGCTCATGAAGAGGAAGGGATATTTCAGGCAGAGTGGAAA